ACTATTATTATCATTATCCATCGTATTTTCATTTAATATTATTATTAATTAATGTTAATTTTATTATTATTATTATTATTATTATGAGATTATAATATTATTTCTCGTATCAACGGAAATATTAACAAAATATATAAATATATATATATATATATACAAACGCGTGGTGTAAATAAAAAATAATTTTTTATTAAAAATGATTATATCCCCATTTTATTATCGTATTAATTACATGTTTAACCAAATTTCAAAAACTCCGACATCTTTGTTGACATCATTATTTATTTAAATCATATTTTTTATAAATATATATAAATAATAATAATATTAATATTAAGTAAGAAAAAAGGGATTTTTTATTTAACTGCTGTTGTTTTTTATAAAAAATTTATAAAGAAGCTTTGTTAAAATAAAGAGCAAAAAAAGAGAGAGAGAGAGAGAAAATCTTTTTATAAATATATAACACCATATCACCATGAGAAAACTTTCGCATTTATATAATAATAATAATAATAATAATTATGCATGTATGTATTTATATATTATAAAATTAGAATATAACCGCTTCTTTTTATTTTTTTCTACATTCGAATATTGTTGCAAAAATTTGATAAATAAAATAAATCTATATATATATATATACTTTTTTTTTTTTTTTTTAAATTATCTAAAATAATAATAATAATAATAATAAAAATTTTTATGACAGGTGAAAATTATTAATATTGGTAACATATATATATATATATATGTATATATAAGTGTGTGTGTGTAGAGTCCGACCGAAACATTAGAAAAAAAAAAAAAAAAAAAGAAATGTACAGTTGTATATCATTCGTTAAATCATTTTTTTTTTTTTTTTTGGTTTTTTGTTTGTTTGTTTGTTGCAATTATTTATATATATATGTATATTTAGTTTACACTGATTAGGCAAGGTTAAGCGTCTCAGCACGAGCATGACCCTCCTTTGGATTCCCTGTTATCTCCGGACAATTTTATTTGATCAGGAAATTCATTGTATAGTTCTACTTCCGATTCCTAAAAACAAAAGAAAAAGAATTTCTAACTTGATTCGAATTAAATTTCATTTGTAAATATCATCATCATCATCATCATCATCATCATTTCTTTTTCTTTCTTGTCATATCTCACATTTGTGGAAAAATCATCACAAAATATTATAAACGATAACAAAATGTTATAAAAACGTCAAGATAATGCAATAAATAGAATGATTTTTTAAAGAGAGAGAGAGAGAGAAACTTCATTAAATGCATTTAATTATGTTATGAGTTAAACTTATTTAAATAGATATATAAATACTTGTAAAAACTTGCAAAAGCCTGCAGCCATAAAAATTTACTTTTATTTCTATACAATTAGATAAACACCATAGAAATAATATTCACAATTATTATTTCGTTTTGTGAATGTATTTAAATTGCAATGAAATTGAAATTGCAAAAAACAATAACACAAATTTCTTAGTTTGATTTATAAAACTAATTACAATTCTTTTTTAAAAAAAAAAATAAAATAATTAATTTAAAATTTACCTGAGCTAAAGCATTTTTTGCAATCGTTTGAAAAGCTTGTTCTATATTGATACCTTCTTTAGCACTTGTTTCAAAATATGGAATGTTATTCTTTGATTGACACCACTGTTGAGCTCTCTTTGTTGATACCTGATTTTTTTTTTTTTAAAACAAATAATAATCATGAAAAAATTATCTATGCATACAAAGAAATGCATCAATGATAAAATGCAAACTCATATCAATACTCACCGATCTGTTTTCAACATCAATTTTATTTCCGATAACGACAAATGGAAAATTATCAGGATCCCTAGGCGATGCCTGAATCAAAAATTCATCTCTCCAATTTTCTAATGATTTGTAAGTTGTTGGCGCAGATACATCGAATACCAAAACACAACAATCTGCTCCTCTGTAAAAAGCTACTCCCAATGATTGAAATCTTTCTTGTCCAGCAGTGTCCCAAATCTTAATAAAAAAAAAAAAAAAACAAAAAAGACTACAGTCAACAAAAGAAAACAGCAAAAATTTTTTAAAAATGAATTCACATTTTTAAAACTGATTGATTTTTTTTTGATTTTTAAGCAAACAACAAAATGTAAAAAAAAACGATAACTAAATAAAAGGTAATCACCTGCATTGTAACTCTTCTATCACCGACATCGACATCTCTTGTTAAAAAATCAGCACCAATTGTTGCCTTATACTGATTAGAAAACTTGTTGTTTACATACTGGTTCATAATTGAGGTTTTTCCTACACCTGAATCTCCTAATATAATAACTTTTAATAAAACTTTCTTTCTGGATGCCATTATTGAAAACTAAAAAAACAAAAACAAAGAAAAAAAAAAAAACTATTAAAAGGGAGTAACCAATAAATATGACCTCACTAATAAAAATTATTTTAATCACTTTAGTTAAACTTTACAAAATGTATAATTTTTTTTTTTTATATAACTTTTAAACGACAAAACTTTTTACTTTAATATTCGACAAAAAGAAACATAAAATATAATTAAAACTGTT